ACTTGCAGAAGGATGTCCCTTTTAGAACATGGCCCTAAAACAGGATGCACCAGCCAAGCTGTATGGTGGATGGGAGGTCCGATTTTCATTTCGTGGAATTTTGGATTTGTCCAGCCACACACCTAGGGTCTTTGCGCTTCGAGAGACAAAGCATGAGGCAACATTCGGATGCATGCGGGTGGTGTGCTTGACAGCGGGTCACCTGTGGAATGTGATGTTGTTGAGCTTATACCATTTTTAGTTGTTTTAAAGTGACACCCAACAACAAAAACCCATAGAACTGGTTCTACTAGGAGGCGTGGCGCTCTTGAGAGGGCAGCGAAAGATTCTACGCTGGCCAATGTTGATTCAGTCTTCCTTTGGTGACGAGGTTTAAAGCCATGGGGCCTGGCGAGGTAGCGGGGTCTCATCTTTCTTTGGAGGTACCCCTTTGTTGTGGTAGAGGGGGCACCAAGAGGAAGACCACCCCGGAAGAAAATGACAAACCCAAGCTGCAGTGAGACCTATGTCAGCGTAGGACCTTGATACGGATGCCCTGTTTGTTTTTGGGAACAAGTTGAGCACCCTGTCATCTACCGCACCTTCCCAGGCTTCTGTGGTTGGATACGTGGTTTACTTTCAGTTGCTGGGATTCCATGTTGCTTTGGGCTTCGTTTTACAAAGGTCCCTTCAAGAACAAGGGCTTGCTTCTCTTCGTCTTCTTCGAATCGCATGAATTCTCGGGTAACCCTCATTCGGTGGTTTGAGGGTTGGTGGTTTGGGTTGAATTTGAACCCCTGGTTATTGTAGAGGGTAAATGGGAAGCTACCCCCCCTAACCAGTTGAGAGGCGGTTTGGCCCTTGCGGCAAGGCTTGTGTGAAAGGCGGGTCCTTTGCCCCTTTGCCCCAGCTCCGGATCGATGTTGTCGTTTGTCCGATCCAGGTGATCCAGAAAACCAGCGCGGACAAGGCGGCTCTACGGAAACCCGCAAAATTCTTTTTTTTGTGGCTACCCCTTTCCTTCTGTTTTTTTCTGGTTCGCCCCTTCTGGTGTTTTTGGGGTATATTCCGGCGTTCTTTTTTTTGCTACCCCCTGTTTGATTTCCGGTCAACGGGGTGAATCCCTAGGCTTAAAGACAAAAACGTGGAACCCGCAGGGCGGTGGTTTTCGCGAACGCCCACCTCTTTCGGTTCAGACGCGGATCTTTGGGTAGCCAAATCTGCCCTTGCCATGGACCAACGTTTTACCCTCTTCTTTCCAGATCAGAGGGATCTGTCTACCAGAACTGTTCTTTGTCAGTTTTATCAACGACCAACATTTTCCTTGCGAAAGATTCATTTGGATCAACCCTGTTTGGGTTGCCTGTGCAATCGAAGTTCCAATTTTAGGCAACCGGACATCCTCGAAACGCGAGGCAAGGGGCGCCACAAAAACCGCAGGCTGCAAGTTTGCGAGGTACGGAACTAACAGGTGAGCCACTTGCTCAAATCCCAAAGGTTTTTTAGAAAACGTAGAGTCTAAGGGTTTGAAACCATATGGTTTCCCGGGTAAATTGGTGCCCCCAGTCTGAGGTGCCTAGCCTTTTGGTACCCCCAACCTCCAGTCGGCTGACCCCCAGTTTCCGCACCCTACAAATTGGTGTGGAACCCTTCCTTAAATGGTGGGCAGATAGCTTACGTGCGAGCCAGTGCTGGTGCGACCATTTGCACACGTCCAATGCTTTCAGTCTTTCTTACTCAGAACCTCAGAACTTGAAAACTATCCAAAGCCACAGGGAATAACTTTGGCTATTTGAGAGCTGTTTGCTGGTTTGCACAGGTGTTGATGCTTCACGAACTGCAATCGCATGACTGCTTGAAGATCATGGTGCTGGAGGCATTCAACCTCAGGCGTAGAGTCGTGGGTTTATTTGGTTCATTAACCATGCCTTCGGCCATGGCCGAGATCTGCGCCGGTTTGCGCCGTGTCCTGCTGGCCTTTGTGCCGGCGCCGAGCGCGCGATCGCCTGCGCCCCTCGCGGCAGCGGCGAACGAGGTGCCGAAGGTCCATGCCCAACCCGCGCCGGCGCCGCAGGTGCTGGCCCCACCGGCCCCAGCGCCGACCCTTCTGCAGCAGCAATTCCTTGAGGAGGAGAAGGCCGCCAAGCAGAAGGTGCAAGACCTGGTGAAGCGCTATCGCGCGATGAATGGGGGCCCCATGAACAGGATGCAGCAGATTGAGGTTGACAATCTGTTCCGGTCACTGATTAAGACCGCGCAGTTGAAGAAGATGGAAGGCGAGGAGGAGGAAGCAAGGAGCCAGGCCAGGTTCAGCATTGCATCACTTTTATCGCCCTTTGATTGAGAACCCTTGCGAGAAGAAGTAGGAGGTCCTTCAAGGTCAATATATTGGGCATTGTGTGCGGCCCCCGATGGTTTCCATTGGTGGGCAAATGAAATTCATGGGCAACTACGGGGGCCCTTGTAAGTGTGGATTAGGGCGGCCTTGGGTCTTCCTGTCCCCCAGGCATTGGCGGCCTGATCTCCTTCCCGTGGATCAGCTTCCAAGTGAAGCTTCTAAGCAGCAAATGAAGCCCGAAGAAAGCTTTCTAGCTTTCCTTTTTCAAAAGCTGGCTAGTTGGTGAGGTTTTCCCATAAATCAAACAGCTCAAGTAGCAATAAATCGGTCGTCTTCGACCCTCGTAAGTCCTTCGCGACCTTCTTGTAAGTCGGCTCCCTACATCTCCTTTTTGGGTCCGAGACTGGTTCAGAGCTTCAATTTCTGAGCAGTTGTTTGAAGCAGCTGAAGTCAAGCGCACATTTTGGGAAGTGTATTGGTCTTCAAACAGTGTTTAGACATGGCGAATTATTGGCTTAGGGTTGTCGCATTTCAGAAAAATGACTAATTCAACGTGGGTGTCTGAGGTAGGGGCCCGAGTGCAGTGATGTTTGTTTTGTTTGTCGGTTCTCAATTCGCAGTTGAGATTTTTTGAGAAGATATGGGCTGCCCCCCATCGAAACCGTCCACTGCCTTGAGCCTCCTTTGACTGAGGTGTTGCACACACTCCAAGATGGAGGCGTGACAACCCGTCCGCTCTTGGACCCCCCGCCCATCCACCAGGCCTGATGTGTGGCGGTGAGTCCCTAAGAAATTATTGCGGTGCTTTGGTTTGGCGGTTTCTCTCTTTTGAGCCGCCTTTGTGCCTCCTGAGTTGCCAAACCTGGCCACAAAACTGCCAAACCAAACGCGGTCGCAAGTTTCACCAGCATGTATCGTTTGAAGAGTGAACACTCAGCAGCCGACGTCTCCGTGCTTGCTGCTGAAATCTGATACGGCAGCACAACCAGAAACCATAAAAGAAATCACGGGTTCCTCAATGTTCCTATTTTACGGACTGTGGTGGATCTCCAAATTAACAGGAGCTGCAATTCGTTACTCCAGGAGGCGTGAATACCATAACATCCCCAACCCAGATTTCATTGGACTGATTCGCAGCTCGCATGGAGAACTTGGCCGCTGCTCATGTCCAAGTTGCTCGAACTTCATGCCGCAGTTGCCGCAAAGGCAGAGGCCGTGCAGACAGACAAAGGTTATATCAACATAGTGCAACCCTGAAAGGCAGATTTTGTCCCTCAGTCTTCTTTAAGCAGTCCCAAAAGGGTACCTTCAAAACAGACAGGTTGTTGGAAGGCGGCTGCGGCAAGAGGCCCAGAGCTCCAGCCGGAAAGGCGCTTTCAATGCGATGACAAAACGGGCAGTGTGACGAAATCCATTTCGCACCACCGTTCAGAATCCCAAGAATGTTGATTTCCCAAGTTTCAGCTCGTGGTGCGAAACGGATTTCGCAAGACATGAATAAACCTATGCTGTCAGGCCAAGACCTCCCACCAGCGCGTGCGTGAGGAGTTTGCGGTGGGGGGCCCCAGGTGCCTCTTCTCTTGCTGTTTCGGTGTCAGCAGGTTTTTGTCGAGGATTCTAAGCGTTTTATGTTTCTTGTTGTGTTAGATCTTGGTCACTTCCTTTCTTCCGCTTGAGATGTTGGTTGGGGCTTCTTGACCCCTGTTTTATTTGACTCAAAACGTAGCCCAAGACGCCGAGAGATGGGACGGGGCATCCCAAGTTTGATGGTTTGGGGGAAGCCGAGAGAAGGATTGGTATCCTCGTTTTTTTGGCAGCACGTAGCAGCACCAGGTGTCAATTTTTTGACAACACCCCTAAAAGTTGACGCCAGTTTCTCTCTTTCGCGTTGTGGGGCTGCTTGGAGCGAGGGACGCTTGGGTTCCGAAGGAAGGTTTTCGCGGGATGGCTGTATCAAAGTGGAGGATCGAGTCAGGAACGAAGCCCCAAGGATTTTCAGGGGGATGCAAATCATGTTGTTGGGGAAACACCTAGAGAAACCAACATTTGTTGATGCGCAGCGGCCTTCTTCTTTGCAGCCACCTCGGATTTTGTTTGCCGAAGGTCTTTCAGGGTACAGTTTGGATGTGGCAAATGTTCATCCACCCTACCCCTTCTAAACGTGTGTGTGCGTGTGCGCGTATGTGTGCGTGTGTGTGTATATATATATATATATTGTGATTAGCCATGGTTAATATCATCATCAGGGACGTCGCGTTAGTGACCGACCTGTGGTGTTTTGGCTCAAGATTTTGGGTTCCGTCGCGCCTCGAATGGGCGTCGCCGAACCCCTGCGTCGACCGACGGCATCTCGGGGGAGAAAGAGACCTCGGGCCGCCGCCAGGTTGGTAGGGACCAGTCGTGCAGCCTGTTGTCGACCAAGGTTGCGGGTTAACCCTTTTCTTGTTTGGTTTGTTTTCCTTTGGTTGTTGTTCTCTGGTGTGTGGGAAACCCTGATCTTTGGGACCGGGGATTGGTTTGCTTTTGGGGGACCTTTCTTTTGTGGCTTGTTTACCCCAACTTACCCATTGCCTGGGCACAGGCTCGTGCCCGAATCACAGGTTATCAGCCGTAGGACTTTCCTACGCGCTTGAGACCATCCACTACAAGCTCTATGTCGACCCCACGATCTCGAAGGAGCGTCGTGGATGAGGAGGCCATCCTAGGTGGCCTCCGCTCAGGTGAGGACCTACCGGACTATGACTACGAGGATATCGAAGCAGGTTCGACAGGTCAGGACCGCAGGGGTGAAGATCCCGGTAGGGATACACCCAGGAGCCGTGGCAGGTACGCCGACGATGGAGACGATCGTATTTTCCGCCAGGCCACTGATGACGAGCAGACACGAAGGGTTTACTCCGGTAGGAGTGGCTCTGAATCAGGTCATAGACGTGGACGTTTTGACTTCATCAGCATGGCGATGGACATGGCCCGCCCTCATTCGGATGACCCGGAGGCCATGCCGATTCGACCTCCGAGATCTCTTGTTCCAGGTGAGTCGCAGGTCTCGGATGAGTTTGAGAGTAGGCCGCAGGGACCAGGGACTATGGTTCTGGTTCCGGGAGGTACCACTGGTTCTCAGAATCCAGGTCAGTTTGATGAGCACGAGGAGCGGAAGTTCTCAGACTTCGGATACGATGATCTGTTGAAATCAACCGCAGGTTGGGGCAGTAGCTCAAAGCAGGGATCTGATGCCGGTAGGCCCAACCCTAATACTGCCAAATCTGAGTCTTATGATGGCGAAGGTTACAATTTTGCGGAGGAGGAGGAGAGCCATTCGCGCCGAAATGCAGGCAGCCGTGCGACTGCAAGGACTAGTCCCGCCGCTGCCAAGTTTGAGGTCGATGATGATGACGAGTGTGCCGCATTTGCGGATCGCCGTGATGAGGAGGAGGACCAACCACGACGAAATGCTAGGATCCGTGATGCTGCGAGGCCCAGGAGCCTCTCTCGTGGAGCCGCCAGGGACTTTCGCGTTGACAGGGATGCCCGAAGCGAGAGAGAGAGAGCCAGGGACAGTCGGGAAGTTCTTCGGGGATTGGAGGCCATCCATGACCGTGAGGGACCGGTAGGTCCCCCGGCGATTGGTGATACCCCGAATGTTCCCCCTTTTCCCAACATTACGTTTGGAGGTCCGTTAAATCAGAGAGACGTGAACTCGAACCGGGTTACTGGTGCGCCGAGAGTCACTGAGCGGGTTGCCGATGTCGTTGGGAGAGGTGCAAGAGATGGCCGGCTTGCCGATGCACTCGGAATCGAGGATCGTCCGTCGATCGCTAGCCCGTTAGGGCGAGATACCAGTGACCTTGAAACGCTAAGGTCCAGCAACGAGTTCACACCTCAATGGGGCTCGACCGCCAGGGCAACGTAGTGCTTCTGCGAAGAGACCGTCACCCCTGGCCATTGAGACCGATAGGTCGAAGGCGAGGAGGGCTAGCCCCTCACCAATGGACTCAACTCCGCAGGATGAGGAGATGCCTGATCCTGCTGATGTTCACATCCACTCTACTCCCGAGTCTCGTGCGTCCCATGTTGATCCCCGTTCCGGCGATAGCCGTAGAAGGGGTTCTACTCCTAGCAGGCCATCTGGGGTTGGTGATAGTCCTGTGGATGACCCCAGAAGATATGCTAGAGCTAGTGGGGCTCCTGAGAGGATCGAGATATCGACTCCTCCAGCACTCAGGTCTCATTCGTCCGGTGAATCAGGTGACGCTAGGGCAAAGGAGGTGTTCGATTTGCACATCCAGGAGATGCTCGAGAGAGGTGAGGTTTCTGGCTCAGTCGCGAAAGCTTTCCATATTTTTGCTGACCAGATCAGGTTACTGAACGGTCAAGTGAGTTCCATGCGAAGGGAATGGAGCGACGAGAATCAACAGACGAAGGACAAGGTCGATCGACTGGCAGCTGAGGTTGCGACTCAATCTGATGCCGGGAGGATGCGAATGATAGTTCAACGGTTCGCAAGGGAAGTTATTCCCGATAGCAAGGCCATTGTGAGGCAAGCCATTGATGAGCAGGCCGAGGTCGTGGAGCAGAGGATTAACCTACTGTCCCACGAGGTCCATGAATCTGTCAGGGACAATGAGGCATCGACTGATCGGCTTCGCCTGATGATTCAGGAGAATAATGAGGCTGCCCGCAGGAGCCATGCTGCTTCTGAGGACGAGATCCTTAAGGATTTGGACAAGCTTGAGAAACGGATGTTCTCGGTAGAGAAAACCGTTGGGATGCGGACACCGGCAGGTGTATGGAATCCGAATCCTGTCGCGCATCCGTCCGATAGGGCCAGCGGCAGTGTAGTCGATGCAAATTTCAGGGAGTTAAACCTGAAGATCGAGAAAGCTCTCCTTGATCACGAGACATTTACTAAGTGGGCCTCTGAATCTATTGAAGGGATCAAAGAAGAGCACACTCGTCTTATTAATCGAGTGTCGAGACTGCAGAGTGGAAGGGGTTCTCAAGAGGTCGATAGACCATCAGAACATGATTCCCCGCAGGACTGGCATGAGGCTATTGACGAGATCAATCGGAAGATGCAGGATCTGGCTCGAGGAATTCAACGTCAACGTCGGGATCATGACGACATCATTTCGAGGTTTGAGACCGTGAAGTCACATGTTGAACAGTATGAAGCGAGATCGGCA